CCCTTTTAATTTTTTATTTCAAGTATTTTGATTTTATTTATTCAAATTCAAAATTAAATCAAATAAATATTAAATGGAGGTGCAAGGCTTAAAGGGCTTTTGATTCAAATACTTTGGAGGTCCAAAGACATGTTTTAAACCGTGTGAACTCCTTCTCAAAACAAATCTTCATATTTTGTCTTATTCTAAGTTATTTTCAAACAAAATAAAAGATATAATTTCATATAAGGTACAAACCCATCTTTTGACCAATACCCTCTGTTATAAATACCCTTCATGTTCAGACAACAAGAGAACGAAAAAACCTGCAAGAACACTCCCTAAAAAAATATCAACTTTTGTCAAAATTATGGCAAACTTGAAACCCTATTTACAGCCCTTCTCAAAGCAAGTCAGCCATCCAAATCGACTGCTGAGGTGCTATAGAGTAAGTATTGATCATTCTTGATGATCAAATAAGCCCGAAACGAGCACTACATGCATCACCAATTTACATGTTTTCTTGAATTTCATATTTTAGTTTTTATTATGATTTGATTGAAACTAATGTGTCCGATATGTTTCAGATACAAAACTATACAGGATTGAACTCTTGCATGAGTCCCATAATGCCAGGATGATGGATCACCATGTTTGAACCAATTTTCTTTGTTTTCTTTATATCTCTTTTTACAGGAAGATTAAGCAAAAACCAAGGCTACCATTGAATTCGCAAGGGTCAAATTATGGGGGTAGGGTCTCTTTTGATCATTAACACATTTTATTTTCGCAGGTATAAAAACGTGCTCACCGGAAAAGACGATTGGAGCTAGGGCCCCGGTGCTTCTTCGGTCCATCTATTTTATTTCACATTATATTTATTTTGTTTTTTTATTAGCGGATGAAACAGCCACCCGAGTGGCAAGGACGCACGCGCTAAGGCATTTATCTATAAGGGTGTGGTTTCGATCCCTGCCTTTTGCAACCTTTTGCTATTTTTTTCCAATTCCTGCAGGTTTCAAATATAATATACGCTACATGTTCTCTATCACCAACCAGCGTTTGACCTGGTGACAAGCTATGCAACTGTGAAGCAAGAGGGAGTGGGTTCAACACCCACCCCATGCATTTTGCCTTTTTCTTGGTTTTTAACCTTTTCCTTGATTTTTCTTCTTCTAACCCTAATTTCTTTTTTAACTAACCATTAACCTAATATTTTCTTAACACTCACAAATTAGGTTTAGGTTTCTTTTTAATTAAAATTTAATTAATTAATTAATTAACCATTTTTTTTTTCAATACTAAAATTAATTAAAATTTTAGGTTTTGATTAATTATCAACTCAAACTTTTTTCATAAAAAACATTCAAACTTCTTTTTTCTATTTTTCTTATTTCTTTTCCTTCATTTATTTATATTCCTATATCAATTGTATAGGTTGCAACTATTGATGTAATAGATATTTCTTTCTGCATTTTTCTCTATTATGTAACTTCTCACTGGATGTAAAAGTTTTAGGGTTTACTTTCCCGCATTCTTATACTTATGTAACTGCCCCAAAATCTTGTAATAACTTAGGTTTACATTTTGCACTTTACTTTTCCTGATATATTTTATACTACTAGTAACTAGGGTTTGTATGGCAAGATTAAAAACAATCGTAGTAAAACCCTAATTTTCAAGACTAAATAACTGAAACTAACACACTTTGCACACTTGCACCTCTAGGGTAACCTCTCTTTGTTGCCTTTGAAACATGGTTATGTCCTTGAAAGTAGGGATACTTTAGCAAAAGTCCCCTCGAATAAAGAGCATAGCCCCTCGATGACCCTTCGATGTTGCTTACGAAAAATTGTCTAGTCTCTCTGATAAATTGCTAAAGTATCTCTACATGTTGCCTTCGATGACCATTCGATGACCCTACGCCTTTCCCTTCACATCCAATAGATGGGATTACCTACCAATTAATGGTATGGATAATACTATCTCTAAAGGAGAAGGAAAATAAATAGAACGACCTTGAGAGGGTAAGGAACTTTTAATCGCTTGCTCACTATCTTTTCAAAAATAAACACTTTTTACATGTCACACTTTCAAAATATTTTCAAAAACACTTTGTACGCCTTCTTGAGGACTGATACAAGAATCATTACAAATTTAGCTGTACTTTGGCTTTTCAAAATACTTTCAAACAAATCACACACAAAGAAAGTTTTCAAAGGTGAGCTAGCAATTAAGAGCCCGCAGATAACTACAGATCAAAAGGGTGCTAACACCTTCCCTTTTCATAACTTATCTACCGAACTAAAAATCTATCAAGATCTTTCTGTTCTTTTCACCCTTTTCTTATTGGATAAAAGAAAAGTCGGTGACAACTCTATCTATCCTCACATTTTGGATAAAACCAAAAAAAGTCAGTTCTCCCACCGTATTATAACTATTTTTGGCAATTTTAAGGTTTTTTGTACAAATGGATAAAAATGCATGCAGGGGTGTAAATGGAATATACGGTCCTCTTATTCACGACCCAAGTAGCTTATAGGTCTGATTGGAGTAAAAAAAAAGGCCACAATTGAAGAATTTGAGAAATCGTAAAATTTGACTTGGCAAATTCAATGAAATATAGTCCCAACATAAAGGGTGTAACTTGCTCAATTTTTGGAGTTAGGTCACAAACTTGGACTTTTTGGAAAGGTCTTGAGATTTCCTACAACTTTCATGTTGGAAGAATTTTCATTTGAATCCATTAAGATCTCTAAAACTGCTCATGAAAACTAGCTGAGTTGACAAATGACCCATAATTCAAAGAAATGACCTATAATTCCTTGCTCCATAACTCTTAAAATAATCACTTTTTATGTAGGAGACTACATTGACAAAGTTATAAATCTTGTTTTCCTATTTCCAAGCATGTAAAGTTTTCTCAATTTCAATAAGAAACAAAGAAGTTATGAATTTTTGAAATTTAACTTTATGACACTCCATACTTAGAAATTTTTCCAACTTCACCAAGATACCTTCGCGAACAAGTTGGCTTCAAAACCAATATTTCTCTTGAATTTCTTCAACCATAGGCCATATGATATTGAAACATGATCATTGACCTCAACTTTGACCAAAAGTCCACTTGATCAACAATTGACTTTTCTTGACTTTTGCTCAGATGACCAAATAATCAAGGTTAAGCAGTTGAACTTCAACAATGCCAACCAAGGGTCCACAATCCAAATGATGATGTCATAAGTCATATACAAGTCACTGAGAACCAAGTTGCTCAAGAAAAATGTCAAGAAGTATCTTTGTCATAAAGTTGACTTTTTAGTCAACCAAATCAAAATTTCACCAGTCATCCAGTGCAATGCTTTGAGTGATCTTGTGATTAATATAATGGCCATAATTGATACTTTGGGCTATCAATGGATCATAGAAACTCAGTCTTGATGAAAATGAATCTCAAAACCTGAAAGGGGCCAAAATCCTAATTTCTGACTAAACAACTTAGGAGATGGTAATTGAGGAGCAATGAACTTGAATCAATAAGAAGATCATGATCATGAGGTCCCACACAACATGCCTTGAGAAACCCAATCTTACCTAATGGATAATCTTGAGACAGGAGAAAACCTAAAACCTTGATCCCATGAATGTAGCAACGAATATGTCCTAATGGTAAGTATGCAAATGCAATGCAATAAGACAGATGAAAATATAAGGGTAAGACAAATTTGGGATATGACAGATAGATGGCAAGGTGATTGCTCACTGTTATACCCCAATTTTTGTCCCTAAGATCCCTCATCACTTCATATCATCACAATGCCTTAAGATCACAAGTTTGGATTGGTTAACTCTTATACTCTCTCATATCTTTAAGTTCGTCTTTGAGGGATCATCAAGCACCCTAATTGTGTATCTTGTATATATGTGTTTTATATTTTACTAACCTCTAACCAAAATCCAAAAAAAAAAAATCTTGTTTATGTTTGTTTCTTTTAGAAGACATAGTTTCCAATTAAGAAATTCGGGTGATGGATTGTGGTTTGTGCAAGCCAAAGACTCGTTCTCAATGGCCTATTTTTTCAAGGTTGTGATCTATAATCTTAGGTCATATTATCTTTAGGCTTCCGTGGACATGGTTAAGGCGAGTTTGGTTGCTTTATTCTCAAAACTCTTCGAGATAGGTTCATGTGTTTATTTCAATGCCTTCTTCGATGAATAATCTCAAGTTATGACAAGTGTGAGCGTGATTTAATCAACATTTCATCATCTCAAGTTCATATGTACTTAAGAATGGTAATAAGTTCAAAGCCTTATTTTTGTGTTGATATCATTCATCAAGTGTCAAGTTTGAAGATTTCAAATATGATAAGGATTGTAAATATCTTTCAAGTGGGAAGTTCATTAAATTTCAAGGTAAAAAATGGAGAGAATTTCTTACTTCCAAGTTAAGGGAAGATTCAAGTTGTTTCAAATTTCAAGTTTCTTTTCCGAATTCAAAGTTTCAAGATCATTCTTTGCAAGATTTCAAGCACTTCTCAAGACCATATTCAAAGTTAAATTTTGAAAAATTCATTCAAGCTTATTCAAATGGTATTCATTCATGAGAAGATTCATTCAAATATTGAAGTTTCAACATCTAAAGGATATCATCAAGACAAATTCCTTACTTCGTCAAGAACAATTCAACAGACTTTTCTTGGCCTAATTCTTTAAGTACATATTACAAGGAGGAATTCCAAAATTTGTGCCAAAACTCCAAGTTACATCAACTTTACATGTGCACCATTACAAGATTGTTCGTGACATTCAAATTCTATTTTAACAAATTTTCAAGTGTACAAGAAAGATTCAAAGTTTCCATGGCTTAACCTCAAGTACAAACTTCACAAGTATCTTGTACCTAAACTTCTTTGGAGTACCACTATTGCTATTCATGTTACAAGTTTGTTTATGTCAATCACCATCTTTTCTCTAAACCTTGAATTCACATCTTTTTGCAACCATGCTCTCAACTCCAAATAATGCCATGCTTCTTCCCTTTATCAATGGCATGTGTCCCTAGTACAAACCAAATATCAAAGTGTCATGAGAATGTTGAGTTAAGAAATAGGCAAGATACAAAAAATATAGCTCAAGTTCTATTGCTTAACTTCACAGATGCAAGGAATATGCAAGTTTTCTATACCATTATATATCATCACATGATACATGAAAAGAAGCAATGGTGAAAGGTGAATTTAGCAAGTTACAATTCCAAATATTTTCAACAATCCAGACCCAAGAAAATTTCACACAACATACAAATTGCAAACAGAGAGATGAGGATTGGGCTGAAAAGAAAACATTTTCGGTGGGCTGTTGAAACCAATTGGAAATTTAATTTTTCACAATTTCAATTCAATTCAAATTTTACTCTGAACCCAAAATCTGTTCAAAGAAAGCCCTAAGCATTTCTATTTAAGCATTCATTCACAATTATTCAGGGGATTCACGGACTGAAAAACTCAGAACCAAAATCATTGAAAACAGAAAAAACGAAAAGGAGAGAACTTGAACCTCATACCGGCCGGAAACTGAACGTTGTTGGAAAGCTCAACCGCACTCCGTAACTCGCCGGAAACCACCGTCCTCTCGACTGAAACAACCAGCTCCACCGTTTACGCCCTTTTTTCCCTTCAGAAGGTTGTAAATATTCTCACAAATCTGAATCCCTCTATGTTTTCTTGCTTTAGTGACTGTTGTTGATGTTTTTGAGCAAAATATTTCTGAAATCCTTTTGTAGATCTTGCACAACCACTTTTTTTTTGAAAAAACTAGTTCCAGATTTGAGTAGAGGAGGAAATACGAACCAGAAAATGTAAAAAAAGTTTATATGTGATCTTCCGCGGCGGCAGCGCCGCAAGCATGGTTGTCGCCGCCGCACCTTCATCGCTCCGTCGCGTGTGATCTTATCCACCGTGTTTGATTCTCTTTTCTGATTTTAATTTGTTATACTTTTGTTATAATAAGAAAGAGAGAGGTTGGATCAATTTATGAAGAGAGAGGAATACATTTTGTAAAAGAAATTTTGTCTCTTCCTCTCTCCTTCCTTGTAAACCGCGTCGGCTTGTTATTGAAGGATAGGTGGTCCCTCTGCCACATGTCCTCATTTATGAAGAGGATCAGACTTGTGATTCTCCGCGCGTGTCTCTACCGTGTTTACAATGTACTTTCATTCTGGATCATTTATCCTATATATTTTGCTCTGTTGATTAGATCCAGTTGCTACACATTTTCTGCTTTATTTTATTTATTTCATATTAATTTTAATTCGTTTTTATCTTTAAAAATTCATTTTAAATTCAATTTTCTTCCAAAAATTCTAAAACAATTTTACAAAAATCATTTTCATTATCTTTGAATTTCTGGATTTTTTTTGAAATTTTATTTCGATTCTTATTATTTTTAATTTTTTTTCACTTATTTGAGTGGTTTTTATTAGTTAAAAATATTTTTATACATTAAAAAATTCTGAAAAAATTTGTGAATACTTTAATATTTATTTCTGACTTGTATTGATTTTATATGATTTTTTGTTGATGTTTATGTATCACTTATAGTATTCCATCCATTTAATCTATTAAATATCAATTTTAAATATATTTACTTGTATATATGATGTATATTTTTGTAATTAATTCTTATTTTTGGGATGTTAATTTCTATCTTTTCTTCATCTACTTTTTTCTTCCTTTATGTGATCATTAATGGCTCAAACTTTATGTTTGAAAGTCCAAGGATGATTGATTTTGAATTTTTGTTCAAAACCTTTGAAACTTGTTATTATGAGGCTTTGATTCTATCAATCCTCTAACAAGTCTTCATTAACTTTGACCTAAGTTCAATCTTCAATCATCATTGATAATTTATTATGGAATTCATCTTTTCTTCATCCCTCTTTCTTTTATTCTTCTTTTTGATCAATTTGTATAAGGCATTTAAACTTTAAGTGCATCTAAGCTTATGGATAGTTGAAAGATTATCTTTCTTGACATAAGTCTTGATCACCCTTTTGTTTTAATTGTGTTACATGTTTTAGGAGCATGGTTTCTACCATGTCTCTAACATGTATGGTACATACATTGTTATTGACCGGCCTCAAAATAGGTGTGACTTCTACATAAGTCCACTTACAATTGCTTAACATAGCGCTACATTTGTCCTTAATCAAAAAAATAACTCTAACATTAACCTTTACTTTATGCAAATTTAATTTCCGCACTTTACTTACTGCTTTTACTTTATGTCATTTACTTTTAGTATTTACATTTAATGTAACTTGTTTATCATTCCGCATTTTTTCCTTTGTCCACTTGGACATGCGTTTATGTTTATGCACTTTTTCACTTGGAGATTATCTCATTGGGTTAAATTTTATCTGTGTGTAGGTTATTGTGATTTATATGCCTTGTCTGTGTTTAGGAATTCCTCTATATATAACTATTACTCTGCACAATTTTTTGAAGACTTTGTTTGGTTGTTATTTCATCTGAGGCTTATTTCATCTGAGGCCATGTTTTATCTTGATATTATGCTTGCTTAGTTTTTAATCTAAAGGATGATAATTTTACATTGACTTCTTTATGTCAAGTGTTAACTTCTTGTTGGTTAGACCTTTCCTACCTTAGCTTTTACTTTATGCTTTAGGATAGTCTCTTCATCTCCTCTTATCTTCTTTAATTTCAAAATCTTCTCCCTCCTTTTCAAAACTCTTCTCGTTTTTCAAACTTGAACCGCTTTCACAATAAACTTGGACTTAGTTCCATGCATTTTCAACATTTTGTTTCTTTATCAAACCTTTAATAAATTTAACCATACTTTGACATTTTTTTAAAAGAATAAAAGTCATTAACCTCATTCAAACCATTTTGCCACTTTGTCTTTTTATTTTAAACCTTTTCTCAAAAGATTAGATTCTTGTTGATTCTTATAGTGATGCAAGCTACTATACTTCTATGATATATAGTGAAGTAAGAGATTTTCCACTTGAGTGTTGAGTGATGCTTTGTTGATTTCAAATCCAGTCTATATCCTCCACTTTGAGATGTTGCAAATTATCCTTTCTCATAATTGTGGGTAGTAAGTATGTTTTCCACTCAGATACGACGATGTCATATTTTCTTCTTAAAGTCAACCAACACATAATATTTTCAAAAAATTTAAAAGAACTACGAGTGCCCTGATCCCCCTATTGCACGAAAGGTGGTACATAGGCACAAAAGGTTTGCAACCGCGACAAGTGAAAAATTTGTAAAAACCACTTCTTTTCCCATCTCCACCATCTATTTCATGAATATTTCTTTTATAGCCAAAGTACACAAGTTTTCAAAGAGGTTCGTGCAGAGTACCGTAGATGTTTAGGGTGTTAATACTTTTCCTTTGCATAACCAACCCCCTTACCTTAATCTCTATTTTACTTAGGGTTTTATTCGCTCTTTTCCATTTCCTTTGGATAAAATAAAGTGTGGTGGCGACCTCATTGATTTACGAGTTAAGTCAATCCAATGATTTAGTCTAAACATTTCTACTGTTACACTCACCACTTTGGTGTCTATACCAGGCATGTCTGATGGGACCTAGGAAAATAATTCGATGTTCCATCTGAGTCGGTCGACTAGCTCGCTCTCCTCCTCTATAAACCAGGAAGTACATATCTTTATGACTTGGTGGACGTGACGCCCTATTTGGAATTCCTTCAAGTTTTTCATGACATGAGCCATTCTGCCTCTGCGCCAAATTTGAGGTCCCAACTCTCAAAGTCAGTATTTAGAACTTCGTAAGGATGGGCATCAACAAGTGTAAGTTCTTCTATGATTGTCTTTAAGATGTTCAGATAACATTCGCAAGCCACTTGTTGATCTCCTCGGATGAGGCCCACTTTTCCATCTAGGAGAATATATTTCATGGTTAAATACCAAATAGATACGACCGCTCCTAGGGCGTTGATGGTTGGGAGCCCAAGGATGATGTTGTAAGGTGTCATGGTGTCCACGACGAGGTAGCTAGTGTTAATAGTTTTGTTGGATGATAGATTATGATCAAGAGAGGGTGAATAGATCACAAATGAAATTTTCTTATTTAAAATTCTATTTAAAAATGTTTTAACTATGGCGAGCAGATACAAACCCGAATTGAAAATCGTCTATCTGAACATTATTAAAAAGACCAGATATGCCTTAAACTGATAGAATGAATACGTAAGATGATAAAAAAATCAATATATTTTCCGCAACCACGTTTGAATTAAATCACACAATAGTAATCTATTTCCAATGAAATATCAAACAAAAATTGATATAAGCAATTTGTCGAACACTTGGTGTGCAAACGATTCAAAATATATATTTTTATGCCTTTGTTGATATGTAAATTCAAATACAATCACATTGATTGTAATCTACTCAACAAAACAATTTTAATTATTAAACAAAGAGATTATCTCTATGTATAGACTGCATAATCAATTATTTCACAATTTGCAATAAAATGTAAATGAGAGAGATAAAGAGATACAAGGATTTGTTCATGAGGTTCTCCAATCAGCCTCGATATGGATACGTCTTCCCCTAACTTTGCTTGGAATTGAGATAATGAAAATTATCCTTTGCGAATGTAGTTTTACAAGAGAAAAGTAGCGGTCCAACCCTTCAAATCCTAAGTTTTATGTTGATCTTATCTTCTTATCTCCCCTTGATTAGAGCTCGATCAAGTAACCCGATACTTCAAATTTGATCCTCTGATTACCACTACTCATTTGATAGAACCCTTGTTCTTCAAAGCCTTCATTCGACTGAATCCTAATTGGACGTTATCAAACTATCTCTAGATCACCCAATAAAATGATTATGTGTAGTTGTTGTATGTATGCAATGAGAGAGGGTGAAGATGATGAAAATATTTGTATATTTTTTGTTTCAATTTTTGAGAAATGATGAATGAATGACTATATATGTGTGTGAGAGTGTGAATGAATGAAACAAAAAAAATAGGGTTGCATGTTGTACCCAAAAATTTCCTTCCCATTTTTAAAGACCATTGATTCAAGACACCCTCATGCTGCTAGGGTTCTCAATTGCTCAAGAGTACTCAAGGGTTTGAACATACAATCACCTCTCCTAAGCAATGACCTACAATTAGTGTTTTGTGTTTCTCAAACAAAATTGAGTTTCTAATGCCTCAATGAGTTTCATGATTCCTCATATGCTTCAAGGTACCCTCGTAACAAGTTTCAAGCCTAGCATCACAAGTTTGCTCAGTCAATTGCTCAGATGATTGAAAATCAACTATATTAGACAAAAAGTAAATTGTTGTCAACATACAGTCAAACTTCAAAATTTTTGGTCAACATCAATATTTTGAGGTCATATTCATCATTTGATCAAGGGTTGAACATGATTCATCAAGAAAACTCTCAATTCATCAAAAGTAAAATAATTGTTAAATTAGGGTTTTCTTAAGGAGAAGTCAACTGAATTTTGACCAAGCATAACAGTTTCACATGCTTCATCAGAATTTTCTAAACCAAAGCCCATTTTGAAGGAAATTCAATTCTCTACAACTTGGTCTCTCTAATCTCAAGTCCAAAAAATGCTTCATTTGAGAGATATGGGCCAAAACATTATAGGTCATTTCAAAAGTCAACAAAAAGACACTTTTTGTCAAGGAAACTTACATCAAGATAAAGTCTTCAAATGAAAAAATGATCAACATAGAGATTGTAGGGGACATCTTGAGGTTTCCAAAAAGTCCAAGATCACCTTCATATGATGAAATTTGAGAGAGTTATGATTAGTGAAAATTGAGCAAATTTTGAGAAATGCATAAAACTTACATTGACCAATTTTGAAATTGTGGGCTAATTGACCTAATTATTTAGGCTCAAACATGTTC